CCAGCGACGCAAGAAACCGCCGACGAAGCCGGCAGGTCTCCTGCATCCGATCGCTCCCCCCGACCGTACCGTTCCAGCAGATCGGAATGGATCTACTTAATCCTTTTCCACCATCGACGCAAGGAAACAGATGGATTATTGTCGCCACAGATTATCTCACACGGTATGCCGAAACGAAAGCCCTTCCTGTAGGGACTGCTGTGGAAGTCGCCAAGTTCTTTATCGAATCCATCGTCCTCCGGCACGGCGCTCCCGAAGTTTTGATCTCTGACCGTGGATCATCGTTCATGGCCCAGCTGACGCAAGAAATCTTTCGTCTCAGCCACACCAGCCATCGGCGCACAACGGCGTACCACCCGCAGACCAACGGGCTGACGGAGAGACTCAACAAGACCATCGCCGACATGATCTCCATGTACGTCGACGTGGAGCACAAGACATGGGACGAGGTGTTGCCGTACGTCACATTTGCATACAACACGGCCGTGCAAGAGACCACCGGGGTGACACCCTTCCAACTGGTTCATGGTCGTAAAGTAACGACAATGCTGGACGCGATGTTACCCCACGAACCGGCTCTCGACGGAAGCGACGACGCCCAGGTGGTTGCCCAACGGGCAGAGGAAGTCCGCCAGCTCGCCAGACACCGTATTCAAGCCCAACAACGTGTCGACACTGGCCGCTACAACCTTCGTCATCGGGACGTCCACTTCCAGCCCGGAGACAGGGTGTGGGTGTGGATACCGATCCGCCGCCGTGGTCTCAGTGAGAAACTCCTAAAGCGCTACTTCGGACCCTACAAAATACTTCGTCGACTCGGGGATCTGAACTACGAGGTGATGCCCGACGGAACACGGACTTCATCACGCCGCGCTCCTCGACCGGAAGTCGTCCACGTCGTGCGCCTCAAGCCGTACTACGCGCGATAAGACTGCGAACTGTGATCTTGTGCACCGCTTGATAGGATTGTGTTTTGCGAGCCTCCGTGGGTTCCCATTTTTTTGTTTGTTTCGCTCTGTTTTGTTGCCTTTTACGTGGCATCGAGACGATGCCTTTTTAAAGGGGGGGAGTAATGCCACGCTCGTCAGCGAGCGACCGCGCGCGTGGCCGAGTGGTTACCGTGCTTGACTGTCGTGCAAAGAGTCTGGGTTCGATTCCAGTCAGTGGAATGCTCTTTTATTTGTTCTTCCATTGCGTTCTCGTGAGTTCGAGAACATTCTCGTCAGATCGAGTTCTGAATGTTCCAGTCGCCGAACAATCTAGACGGATTGTTCCAGAACCCAACGCGCGTCCATAAGGGACTCCGCGTGCTGATCTGCAGTCAGTTTTCGCCCAGCGTTCGACTCTGCTGCTACGCCGATTTCGACGCTCGCGACGCTCCGTTATTATCTTTTGTACCCTTTTGTTTTTTGGCACAAGTTCGCCACATTAAACGTTTATTTCTTTCTGTTTATTTATTGTTTATTGGCCACCACCCGTGACAATATATATATATATATATATATATATATATATATATAACTATTCCGGTAATATGTAAACACATTGGAATCTATATTGAAATCCTACCGCGTCGCGAAAATTAGAACCCGCGAATTATTCCAAAACTTCAGCTTTAACCTAAATCGCGAAATATCGAGCGCGCGAAAAATAAGCCGCAACACAGTTTGCGCACAAATAATTTTCACGCGAGGCGATTACAGAGAGGCACATCAATGTGCCAGTATTGTGACAGTAAATTCCAAATCAGAAAAAAAAAAAAAACAGGGATCCGTCACACTTGCTATTTGTACTCGGTATTTATATTTCGATTCATGTTCAAAGCGCAGGTCTGATGTTCCCGGCGCCCCCAAGCTGTGACAACTCGAGTTCAGCGCGAATTCACACGCCGTAATTCCTTGCTTCGTTCAATCCTCAAATTAACTGGCGATCCTCAATTTCCCTAGCGATCCCCAATTTCGCTGCGATCGAAACGCCGAGTTCGGTTTGGGAGCGACGACTGCCCCAGAACCGCGCTAAAAATTACCCACAAAAAGATGCCAGGAAAGCAGGATGCACTTTCCCCACACCTGACATACCGATTAGGATAGTGCTTTCCTCCATGGACGAAGACGATGAGTCGAGGGCGCCAAATACGGCAGCCGAGCCGGCAGAAGCGGCTGCATGCGATCGGTGTGACTCGGTGATCAGTTTAGCAGTTCAGTAACCGCGGTCGGTCATTCGGACGGGTTCAGATTCTTCCAAATGCCCGGATGAGGGTAGACGGCGCTACACTCGTTAAAATGGCGCCGCCCAGGAAGCCCAACTTGGAACGGTGCGGCAGATTTAACTAGGCAAGCACGCTCTAATGGCGTCGTCTGCGAATACCGCGGTGGATAGCCCAAGACAGGCTTTTGTTTTCTTTTTCGCACAAGGTAAGCTTATTCGTGCATATTTCCTCCCCACGCTTCCAACATCGGGTTGCTCCTCTATTAAAGTACAGCGTGATACGTTGAGCAATCGCTTTGTGCGGGTCGTTTAAAGCGCCTTAGATGCGTTAGTTGACTTGCTGTCTGACAGCTTGAGAAATGCACGGCCCAGGGCATTTTTATTGTCCGCATTTTTCATTGCAAAATCAACGTATACCAACGCAAAAAAAAAAAAAAAAAAAAAGAATTACGAATCAAGAAGCATGGTCATAATAGGCCACAGTCTGCGTTTCTTAAGCATCCCAATGACTTTAACAACAACATACTCCGTGAAAAAGTAATTATTAGCGCCGAGATGGTTCGGTGGCGCCCTCTTGTGGTTTCCGTTCGTGACGTCACGATGAGAATCTGCCTCGCCGTGACGTCATGAGTTGTATAATCCTGACTACATATCATCAGTTGAAAACTACAAGTTCGGTGTCTTTAAAAAATAACATTGGAAAGAGCTGACACTCTGACATTGCGCCGATTTCCAGCGATAAAATCAAAATTAATGCAATAAACACGTCACAGTGAGCGTTTGGACAATACGGAGAGCAAGTCGTCCGCTTCTTGCGCAGGAGTGGCGGTGACGTCACAAAGACGCCGCGCTCTGATTGGCTCTGATCGAAGGACAGTGGATAGACCTCAAAGTAAGGTGACGTCAGAGTTCGGCGTTCTGACGTCACCACAACCCCTGCAAAAGAAGCAGACGAACTTGTGCTATGAATAGCGAATTGCGACCACAGCGACACTTCTGGTCGCTCACGTCGCAAATAGCTACTGTCTTAAAAATGACTGTGCGTCTACTTACTTGCCCGCAAAACACTTAAGGCCCGTTCACACTCTTGCGACTGCTTGTGACCTCTTAAACCTGGGTTCCTTAAAACTTCTTAAACCAGAGAACACACTGGCGCCATCTATTGGGAAGCAGTGTAAACTCGGCGGTCCGGCATATTTTTTTTTATTTCTCGCGCAATATCCTTTCTTTTTTGGCTCGAAAAACTTGTCAATGTTATAAACGAGCCTTTCTATGGGTATTACGCACATTTGACCTCGGAAATCCCGCAAAACCTTCGCTTTTGTGAAATGCAGTTCTAGGGTCACCGCATAGATGGCGCCACAATGTCAGTGTGTTCCCTCATTCTAGAAACATTTAAGAAGTTGTAAGAGATCTCGCCTCTCTCAGTCGTACTCGGTCGCAAGAGTGTGAACGGGCCTTTACGGTGACCACCCGTCCCGCGACTCGCGGGACTGTCCCGCATTGAGGGCTCGTGTCCCGCGTCCCGCGAGAAATCCCGAATCTTCAAAATGTCCCGCATTTCACACTGTCGTAAAATTCACTCTGCAACTGCATGATGGTGGTGCCGAACAACGGGGCACGGGGAAGCGCGGAGGTTGTTGATAATCGTGTGAATCGCTATGGTACGCCATTTTCTATACAAGCAATGCGGGAATCGACCGTCATTCTTGCAGGAGAACCGACACGCGTGCGCCGTTGTGCCCCTTGGTGACAAAATATTGTGAGAGATAATTTCTCGCCAGAAGTTTAAATATTAATTATTGTAATTATTTTCAAATTGCTGAAAGGGTTGCTGTGGTAATTATTTTAAGTGAATACAGTCATAGGAGGCAAAAATCCTGCAACTCACATCAGTCGAAAAGGAACAAAGTGTTAAATATTTGTGTAGGATAATGTTGATAAAAGTTGCGCTGACTGGGAACAATAACCCGAAATTGATTTACTCTCTCTTATTTCCTTTTGAGGCATTGAGTTCTTCTGCAGTCGATTTTCATGATATCAACTTCGACACATTTAATAACATATTTAGCATTAAAAAAACAAATATCACTGGGAGTGAACATTACTTAAACTTAATTGATTCTATAAAATTTGCAAGTGTATAAACAGCAGGATATTAAATGTGTTAACAGAGCCTCGGTTCGTGGTGCGCGTGTTCAAAAATTTCCTCTACCCCCCCCCCCCCCCCCCCCCCCCCCCCCCCCGCCCTGCCCCGCGTGTCCCGCATTTCGATAGCAGGAAAGTGGTCACCCTAAAAACACTCGAAGAACCAATCTCTGCGATCTCATAAATCAGCTCGGCAAATGATGAGGCTTAACATCTGCTTCGGTCTGCGCTCTGGCATTACGCAATGCAAGCATGACGCTTTGCATTGCGCAATGCCACAGCGCACACTTTATCTTTAGGTCCAAACGGATGTTCCGCCTCATCATTCGCTGAGCTGATTTCGTAGATTTCAGATATTGGTTCTTTGAGTTTTTTTGCGGGTAAGTATACGCGCAGGTATTTTTTAGAGTGTAGACTTCAAATGGTAATTCTCAATTACTTCCATGGGGAAATGTTGCTATATAATACTATAAAATAGTTGTGTTTTTTTATGAAACTGTCAACCTAACAATACATATAGTATATTTATATATATGTTATATATTGATGAAAGTCGTCGCATATGTCTCTTCATACGGCGGATAATGTCATATATGTCGTAATGCCCGATATATCCGGTGTTATAAGTTGGGGAAAATACTCACCGATGCCCTCTGTACAGGCGATGAGAACAGACAAGAGGGTTGTCACAGTGCCTCCAGGGGCACGATCCTGAGCGAACGCTGGCATTGCGCCCGTCATCAGCGAGTGGGCCGCACCGTATGTTACATCGACAACCACCGCGTACCACGGATTGTAAATCAACGAAAAACCTACGAATTTCAAAGCGAACGCTAGGAAAATCAGGGAACACGTTAAGAAATACCCGAGCCCTTTGAAGATATGCCCGGAGACAAAAAGCAGAGGAGCTTGCACGGCCAGATTTTGGACTGCGCTGGCAAGCCCGATTGTGAGTTGGGATGAACCGATGTCCTCTAGAAACCAGACGTTGTAGGAAACGTGGAAGGCACCAAAGGCACCGATGAAGCAAGAAAACAAAGAAAAGACCATCATGTCTATACTCTTGAGGACGGTCCACGTGTCTTTGAAGAAGCTGGTGGACCGATTGGACATCTTCAGCCGTGGTGCGCGGAAGAGGAACAGTATATCCAGCAGCGCAAAGACGGCGACAACGTAGAAGCACGGAGTAAAGCCAACGTTGTTCTCTATCCCGCTGTTATCTACGCCAATCAAAGCTCCGATCAGTAGACTGCTCATTCCAATGCTAATGAAAGCCCACAGCCTCAGCTTTCCCACGAAACTTCCTTTCTCGGCCAGCACTTCACAAGTTGCAGAGTCTGTCACAACCATAGTGGCCATGCTGACGGCCGTCGCTGTTACAACGAACACGACGTACAACCACAGGCTAAATGCGTTCACGGCAACTACTTTGTTCATGCAGCTCAGTTCGCACCTACTTTTGTCGCTAGGCGTCTCTTTCCAGGACTTAAGTCTGCAAAAAATAGAACTATTTCTTGGACGAAAGTTGATGATAGTCGCTATTGGTTCCGTGTGTGATTGGTTCGCACGACAGGACGCATTGCATAGAAATGATTCACTCAGGTTTTGAAAAATGAGACTGCTGGATAATTCAATAGGCGAGAATGGTGTGCCTTCGAGGCATTTTACTGACACGTTGGTTTGCTTTACTTTATTTTGAAAACAGTGGCTGAAAAACGTCACTCCGTTTGAAACGAGTAAGGTCGCCTGCAGGACAATCAGCATTGCGCTGGCCCTCTCGGTTTTGTCAACGATATAGGCAATCACGAATTTAACGAGAATAACGACTATGGGAAGAATCCCAAAGATGTAGGCTATGGCTTCTTCCGAGATTCCGATCCGACGACCGACAGATGTGTAGTAAACACGTACGTAGATGTGGGCTGTAAAGGATGCAAAAACAGTCATTTAAGTATATTTCTAGAATAGTAGAACGTTCTGTGGTCCGTATAAACACTTTGATAAGATTATTGGTTTTCTTTTATGATTCCGTGCTTCAGCATATCTCTATCAGACAAAATATTGAAAGATATAACTAACTGCCTACGCTAGACTTCAAAACTACGGGGAAAGTCATCATCCATACTTAACATAAAGCGTGCTTGGTTTTAATTCCAACATATTTTGTGGTAGCTGTTGATACCCCTTTCGTACGAAATTCGACGGCGTCCGTACGCAAAAACTCACGTTACTTCGGGAAGGGAGTGATAGCGCCACCACGCGCTATCACGAGAAAGGCAGATTCACATTTTCCACGCTTTCTAAACACTCGAAAGTTTGGAACGCGCAGTCACTCACCGCCACAAAAGAAGTAATGAATCTTGAGCAGTAGCAGGCTTTTGTCGAATGACCACTTCATCGCCCTTCCTCGGCATCTAAGCCTTAGAGTGAGAAAGAAGGTAACCTCGAGAGGATTTCTTAACACCTCAGTTGGAAAGTTGTTCCGAATGGTTCACACAGCTCGGAGCTTTGGGCGCATCGTGGCAATTTTTATGAATACGCTGCAAGAACTAAGTCACAAACTTCAATACGAATGTCGTGTGCGTAGTTCACATCTGGTCAGCTTCTGCAAAAAGAAAAAAGAAATATTTTCATTCATTTGTGTTTATCTTTCTTGTTGACCTGGATTAAAGAGAATGTGAAGTGGCTGCTGCCAACTTACTAATGTCATTTATATAAAAAGTGTGGCCAGGAAGTGCAGTCTTTTTGTGTATAGAAGGGTAATGTATAGTTATTTTGTAAAAGACAGCTGACAATGGAAATTGGCACAATTTGCCAGAATGGCTGAGATGAGCCAAAAAAATTAATAAATATATGTTATCAAAGGTGCTCGGAGGTGTAAGATCGGTGCAGGAATAAAACAAGCTAAATCGAAAAAAAAAAATCAGACGGGGCATTTTGAGACAAAAAGAAAGCGTGTTTAGGTTATGCCTAGGAGGCTGTTCAGAGGCTTTGGTTATTTTAGGTTGTATCGACCCGACCGATTGGCTCTGATAAAGAACGACGGCATGGGCCAAAAATATTCATCACGCTGCCAGGTGCTCCCAAAAAGAAATAACTTGATTTTTTTTTTTTGGGTATGAAATATAAAGTTACCCAGTCACATCCTACTGTTGTCACAGACAGCTTAAAGGCCGACCTACAAAATCGTCTCCTGCGGGGCAAAAAAATGTTCTCAATATCCTTCTCTCCTCCTCTCCCCACAAGAGCGCGTCTCTGAAAGATGCTCTGAACTATTATAGTCCATGCAGAAAGAAAGAACACAAGCAACCACAATAATTTCTGGTTGCTTGTCGGCCTTCAAGAAACGCGGGGCGTGACTTAGCATAGTATCATATCGTTATCGCTCCGTGACTCATCAGGCTGCGGCATAAAAACACTCCGAAGAACCAATTACAAAGCAGAAAGCGTGAAGAAAAGAAGCTACGCCCTGCGTTTCTGAAGCGGTCGGTCACTAGGGTGTAGTTTTCTGCCACAGAAGTAGGCGATGTCATTATCACTTATCCTGGCCGAGGCGAGTAACGTAAGTAACGTAACGCATTGCTTAATTAATGTTTCTTTTTTTTTTTTTAATTGATCCGCTTTTCTAGAAGGATCTCTAAAACGGATATATTCTGGAACATGTTTTGCTCTATTCCCCATGAGCGAATTCGAGAAGGGGGAAAACGGGGGATTGGGGGGGGGGGGGGGGGGGGCTCGCTTTCCCCCTCCCCCTTCCAAGGTCACTTTTTTAATAGAAAAAACGACCAGTCGTTTTTAGAAAGAAATATTTAGTTTAATGTGACGTTACAAATATTAGGTAAACAAAATAGATGTGGGTAACGCTTCGTCCGCGACGTCATCTCTCTGCAGCCCCCCCCCCCCCCCCCCCAGCCCCCCTCCCTGGGCCATTGAAATGCGCAGCGCCCTCCCCAAGCCCGATTCATAAGTCCGCCCCCGTTATTCACTCATTTCTTCGACGGGTTGATGGCACTGTCAATTGGTTCCACCGCTCTCTACAAGTTCTTATTCTTCTTCCAGGTTGCCACAGACCCTCTTATTTCGTATAATATTCTGATTCTGCGCGGTGTACGATGATTCAAGGGGTGCTTCATCGTGTGTATGAGTGCAACCAAAAGGTAAGAAACAGAATATGCAAGCAATAAAATCACGACATCACGGTGCGCTCCATGAATAGGTTATCCGGCGGTGGAGATATACGCACCGGAAGACGACGAAATTCCGTGGCGGTGAGCTTTCGACTTTGCTGGAATCGGCACCGTGGCGTCGGCTCCACTCTGACCTCAATGATGAAACAAAGCGTAGCAGATGTCCCCGTTTAACAAACTCCCTCTTTGACACAAATTAGCCGGCAGGTAAAATGTCAGGTAAAACTCTCACATGTCTTTTTTCAGCTTGAGAGACTGGAGGCCGTTTGTTCCGAAGCAATTTCGCTCAAAAACGCACGCGTGATAATGGCACAGGCATCATCGTTATTGTCACTGAAAGAAAAAAGGGAAGATGATAATACCTGCGTACAAAGTCGCAAGCTGTTTTTCACAGAAAAAAAAACGAAACTTTTCTTCTTTTTTTTTTTTTGTATTGCGCAAAAATATTGTTCAATCATTCATGTTTATAATAGAAAGTTTTAGTAGATCGTCCCGATACCACCGACAACGATACTATGCACGCGCAAAGGCGGCGGCTGAGTGTCAGGTATCGTTATCGGAGTCATCGGCACGATCTACACCTCGCTAATATCTAAGCAGGCTTTCGTATCTCACTCACCGAACTAATTCGGTCAAAAAAAAATGCCTAAAAAAAAAAAGGAAGAGAGAGTCGTTATTTTTCTTAGCTCGCACAAAAAAGCAAATTGTCAACATTTTTTTTTTTTTTTGAATGTTATGGGGCATTAGTGTTTACCACAGCTTACGCTCCTGGTTTGGCATTTCTTAGAGCTCCTGAGCGAAGAGGTTCCGTGGATCTGCTCAAATTGAGGCTGAACGGGACAAAACGGTAAATCTAGCGAACGCTCAACAACGTTGCCCCCTTAGGCAGTGGATCAATGACTATTTTTTTTTTATTTCCACTCCAACCCCTAGTCTGAACGTCTTCTCTGTCACTAAAGCATTTCTTTCTTTTCTTTTCGGCACGACATTCCTTTGAGACTTTTACAATCTACTGTTTATATCTATTAGAAAAAAAAAAAGAAAAAAAAGAAAGACAAGTGTGAATACGTATCCAGTGCAAGCCGGAGCAGGTGGTCTTACTCAGTAGAGCCGCACGTGTTCAAACCGTTATCACAAAACATGGCATTATTGTTGCTTTCTGTGAGTCAGAATGAGCTCAAATATGACTCGTCAAAATGTTTAAAATGAAAAACAACAGTGCAGGCCCATTTTTTACGACCCCTAAAGTACTTTATATTAATTGGGCTGACGTGTTTGGAAACTGCGTCGGATCCGTAAGGGTAGAAAGGGCGAACGCTTCGATAAGGATAAAACTAAAGAAATATGGCGTTGTTACTTTTTTTTTTTTAATTTCATGACAAAATATACGTTTATGACTTCCTAACCCCGCATGCTACTTTTCTGTTGCCTAACGAAACAGTACGCAGTTAGTAAAATATGACCTTATTATCAAATGAGATTAATAGGTTTCTGACCTTTGCATCTCCTTTTTCTTTTGTTTATTGAGAATATTAAGCGACCATCGGAATCATATTATGATCGATTTTATAGGTTCTTTTTCTGCATGCTTGGTTGTTTTGCGGGAGGGAACCTGTTGTCTTTTTCAGCAAATTTCACCAATAAGTTTGTTTGTTTGTTCGTTTTGGGGGGTAGGGGGTGGGTTGAAGATGTGGGGAATATTACACTACTAACGGGGCAATTCTGTGACCGTTTTCTTTTCACTCGCGAATGTGTTGCGTTAATTATTTTCTCGTCATGAAAAAAGACAGACGACCAACCGTTAGTGCGTTAATGTAATTAATCCAAAGGTGCAGCGAGCTGGACAGATGGATGCTGCACCTTTGCATTAATTGCATTAAAATCATAGCCCTGAAATTCAGGCCGTTCACCCTTGTTGATGTTAGACTGGTGGCAGCTGTTAAAGCCCGTTTGCTCTACTGATGTCTAACTCCTCCAGTCGGTAAAGCGCTCCATTGGAAATGGAGAGGCCCCTAGCTGGGCCGGTTTGCTCATCTTGCGGACGCGGCTGCGGCTGCGACCAAGAGGGATTTTTCTGTCACGTGACCAGCTCCATGGGGACAAGGAAGTACCTAGCGTCCCTGCCTAATGGCGGAGAAATCCGTATCGCTTCAAGCACAAAAGCCTAATTTCGCCCGCAGAAACTGACTGCAGGGACTTTCCACTGGAGTCCAATTGATCACCCCTTTATACTGTAGGAGCGGCAGGTAAAGTTACGGCCAGGGAGGGTAAATATAAGCCAATATAAAGAAAGAATCATGCGAGATAAAAGCGGTGACAGTATATTTATATAGATACGTGAAGCATAGTTTGTTGAAATCGAACGGGTATCGCTGTGTCCTTGATTGCCCCCATTCCAGGTATCTCGGTATTAATTCTCATAGAGGGCAAAATCCAATACGGTGGCGGAGTTTATCCGCTGTGCTTTGTCACCGAAGAAATTTCTTTATGCAACTTTTGCATTTCTTGCCAAAATGTGGAATGCAGGCCGCATTCCAATGCTCGAAAGGGATGTAATTGCTCCGGTGTTTTTCTCAGTCCCCGTACAACTCGATATACTTGTGATATGGGACTTCGAGGGTCTAATCTTTCACAGTAGCTCATCCATCTGCGTTTAGCCAACACGTTCAAATGACGTCTTACGTGACGTTGTGTTTTACGTGCCTCACGGAGGTCGTTGGTACTGTGAGTTCGTCTTAGCCGTCGTTCCGCTCTTCTACCTATCATATTCCGCATCGAGTTCTGTTTTTCCAGCGGGCATACTAAACAATCTAGTAGATTTGTTTAAAGCAGAAGCAATAGTTGGACCGATAGCTTCATCCTCCGTTGCAGCTGTTATGGCACTTATTGTAACAAACTGAAATGCTTCCCAGCTCGTTTTTCTTATTTTACTCCGCGATTTACGTGCTCTGAAACCAGTTATAGATATCATAATCGGTAAATGATCGCTTCCCCATGTGTCGAGGGCTGGCTTCCAGGTGCATTTTTGTATAAAGTCTTTCGACACAAAGGTCAAATCCAAACAACTGCTTACCCTTGTTCCCTTGAAAAATGTGGGTCTTCCATCATTGATGTTGACGATATCGAACTTAATGGCAACCTCAAGAAGTTCGCGTCCCCTACGAGTGTTTTGTAGGCTACCCCAAAGTTCATGATGAGCATTAAAATCCCCTAAGAAGCAGCATGGCTTTGGTACTGCTAGAAGAATATTTTTTAACCTTTTAACATCAAATGTTAAAAGGCAGAGATGAAAGTTATTGAGTTCGTTCCATTTTTGACAGTTGCAGATACATGTTCGTTTTCGTCATGTGGGTAAATATCCTCTGCAACGTAAGTTAAATCATTTCTGATGGATAATAAAGTTCAGCTGTTTCCAGTATGTTTTTTTTAGTGAAATATTTGGTATCCTGAGATCCTGAAGTGGTCTCGAACGCCATGTTCTGATATAGCTAATACGGGACAAGAATTAGTTCTAAGGTATTGGCGAAGGTCTGAGGCTTTTGACTGAAGGCCTCGTGCATTCCATTGTAAAACAGAAACAGTTGCTGATTAAAAGATATCTAAGAGTGTGGGAAATACCAAGTTAAGTATTTGACATTGACAAATCCGGGTTTTACAATGTTGAAAGTTCACCAGCTCGCTCGCATCTTCTCCGTAATTTTAAGTATCTGTACGATGCCTTGCATTACTGGTGAAGTGAACTGACTAAGAAAGTTTGTGATAGCCTTGATTACTGTTCTAAATATCATTTTCCAATCAAGTGCAGCTGAATCGTCTGGCTTTGAAGTTTCATTTCGCTCGTGGCTTTGATACCTTCTTTCGGGCTTAGTGGGGGAAGGTTCTGTATGCGGGTTTGTAATTTTTTGGTATGTTGCCTTCAGGGCATCTACGTAGTTATACTTGCTTGTCTCAGGTGACGCGTTTTCACCATCTACTAGGACCGATGGCCCCGAGCGGTGTTTGGATTTTATATTGTTCACTGTTTCATCTGGTTGCGGTTTGAGAGTTTCTCTCTCTTTGCCGTAGTGATCTTTCGCAAGGTCTGCTTTTGGGGGCTCTTTTTGTTTGTTCGCTGTTGCTGTAGTAGCAAGGTTCTCACGTTGATGCGGTACTTTTTGTGGGTGGTTTTGAGGTAGTGAATCTGTGTGGCGCACAGCTGCAGTTTTTACATTTTCAGGCCTTGAACGCACTTCTTCGGCATCGCCAAACTTTTGTTTTGGGCATTTCGAAAAGAAAGCATCATGTTCCCCTCCGCAGTTAATGCAAAGTGGGATTCTCGCGCTGCATTTGTCTAGTGTGTGATCCCCAGAGCATCAGGTGCAGGCCTCTTTGCGCTTGCAAGCAGCAAGGACATGACCTAGCTTTGCAGATTTTTTGCGCTGCGCGTGTCTGTGTACACAGGCGTCTACTTTGTGCCTAACGCACCCGACAAGTACATGACTTGGTAGCACGGGAGAACCAATGTTATACACACAGTGTGTGACGTTCCCAGACGTCGTATTTGTGCAACTGTTGCGTTGCAATTGAGTTGCTCTCGAAGCTGTGGTATCGTGATGTCTGGGTCAATGTCATGAACGACTCCGACTGAAGGGTTCTTGTTTTGTGGCTCATATACGTAGACCGGTATTCCAAGAAGCTCTGTCAGTGTCAGTAGTGTTGACGTGGTGTGCAGATTTCGTGTATCCACTGCGATCAGGTTCAGTTTCTTGTTTATCTTGATCTCTAGGATGCAGGAAGGGGCGATGTTTTCGAAGAAAGATGTCAAGCGAATGCTGTTCATGGTTCTTAGCTGCTTTGAGGCATCTTGTGGTGTAAATATTACAGTATGTCCAATGCAGGTTAGAGCGGATGTGGACGAGATAACAGTGTTGTTACTCGAAGAATTCGTGCCTGGTCGTTGGCTTCCCGGGACCTCACTGTGCTGAAGGACTTGTCATTTGAAATGATGGTAACTTCTTTTATGTCTTCTTCATGTTGCATGTCCGTGTCCTCTGACTCAGTGCCAGTTGGTCGTTCATTGGTTGACAGGCGTTCCGTTAACAGGATCCCGGAGGCCTGGGTTGTAGTTGATCTTTTTGGCCACATGTCGCGAGTTCTTGGTCGGTGGCATCCGAAAGCTCGTTATATGGATTGGGATGGATTGGAATGTCCATGGCTTCTATCATCGGCTACGTTGCATGCTTAGTGTATTCTCGAAGCACAGTGCCAGCGACCCACCCTGCCGGGAGGCCGGGACATGCAATATTTTTAAGTCGCGTTGCAGGATAATACAGATGTCGCCGAGTATATTAAGCAACGCGAAAAAAAACTGGAAAGATAGCTAGAGCTTTCAAAGATCAGTCTCACCAGAGCTCGTCGTCGTCCCATTTGAGAGAGTGCCTCGTCATTCATCGAACTACCTGTGTAGATCTCAGCGATTAGATATTTCAAGTGCGTCGGGGGGAAAGTAAACGCACTTAATGCGCACCTGTACTTTCCCGCAATGGGATAAAACCGCACTAGAATAAAACCTCTCTTTAACGCAAGAAAAAATAAGAAGAAGATTAAGCGCGCATATGATTATTTGTTTGCCTATCTTTCGCATTCCTCTCCAGTATTTACACGCAAGAGGTTATCGGAAGAGCGCAGCTAGGGCATTTCGATCGGTTACCATGGGCCGAGCTGGTGATACCGACTCATTCAGATAACGTATATCAGTGAGGCAACGACATGGCTCATAATCATGCGGTCGATGGACTTATAAAAGTTCAACCTTTCACCGCAGATATCTCTTTCGTTTGCGCGTTCCTTAGTTTCGGCTGTCACGGTGAACGTGCAGACTGTTCTGAACGCTACAGCGAATAAGACCCTCGTCTGAGTTCCGTGGGTGAGTTCTTGGCCCTGTGTCAGCCCCAGGTAGTATATTATAGTTACTAATAGAGTAAGGAGCGCAGTGATTGCGATTACATGCTCACAATGTGAGCATGCAAAACATTATTTTTAGAGTCACTCGGCAGATTTAATTTTGTTATACTTTTTTTTTTCGTTTGCCGAGTTTTTTGGGTTTTTTTAGGTCACAGTGATTAGCTCGCAGACGCAGCAGTTTACATTTTAGAGTGCAAATGTATTTTTCATTCGAAAATTACATAGCTCGCACATTTTTATTAAAAAGTATACAAAGGAAAAACGAGTGCCGATAATGCGTACTTTATCGCTATGCAGAGTGCTTGTCTCAGTTGTCAACGATCGAAGTCTGATCTCACAAGGTTTAGAGGGCAGTCAGTGAAGTAGGACCAGGTGCTTCTTTGCAATTTTAGAGTGTACTAAGAAATCTGATTGCCTCGTTTCCGCTAGATTGCTTTACTCCCGGAGTTATTCGCGCCAGTTAATGTTCTCACATTCCGCAATACTTAACGTAGTTTTGTATGTTCTTCAGTTTGTGTACAACCAAATCCCTGGGTGCCTTTCACTTTCTTCAGAACAGCCACACTCTAACAAAAAATACTTTCTTGAAAGGTTCTTCGACGCACTATCACCTCCGCGTACTAGAAAGGCAACTGGGCGATGAAGAACTCTTTCGCATAAAAAAAAGGAGCTTAAAGGACTCCTTATAGGTTTTTCACGAAGAACCATGGGTGTTAAAAGGATTTATTTTTAGAGTGTAAGATATGTAAAAGACGAAGAAACCCAAGGAGTTATCTTACGACCAAATCCTTTTTACAGTGCAAGCCCAAAACAATTGCACTAAAACAGCGTTGGGAGTACTTTGTTATTTCTAGGAGCGTGGTCGTTCAAATATCTGTTTCGAAAGCGCCGCCGCTTGTGAGTGGCAATTTGCATGCAAAATTTGCGATTTATTGAATGCGCTAAACTAATCGGGAAATACTATAACCGAATTGCTTCCTCTAGCACAACACACGCACAGTCGGACATTTCAGGGATAAAATAATATGTTCTGCAAAACAATGTGACTTGGGAGTTGTGAGGCGGCTTATTCAGTTGCCTGTACCGCCTAAGAGTATAAGTGACTAACTAAATGTCTACATAATTCACTTTTTGTATTATTTCATTTTTTTATCGTTATTCTTGCCTGTTTTCCACTTTCTTTCTTAACAGCATCTCTATTTTCACATCTTCAGCTCAGGTCTCCCGACAATTTTCAATGGCACCCGTCAAAGAAAATGAGACAGGTAAGACATTAGTTCTTATATTTGATTTGGTCGTAATTTTTAAACAGCAATGTAACCTCTGCGTGCAAATGTGAAAAAAATTTAAGAATTTATTTAGCGTGTGATGCTGTGTATTGTGAAAGATTTCCAAAGTGCTACATTCGTTTGCTTCGCAAGTTAGTACTGACACCTAGAAGTACTCTGTTTTTGTTTGATCGTTAGAAACTTGGAGCAGCCTTTTTGAAAATGTTGCCAATTGTAATAGAATAAAATCTTTTGAATAATGTCTAATGAAATTGTATTACATTTTTGGTTCTGTTGATGTAACTGTTATAAAAAAAAACATCATTTGTTGTTTGTGTGGCATGATGTGAGCCTGTGCGGTTGTACTTTATGGCTTATGTTTGTACTTAATAATGCTCCACTCCTGTAATCTATCCAATTGGGTGCACAATGAATATAAATTGAAAAAAAAACTAAAAAAAACTACATTCACAAGTTATTATGTCTATTCCACGTATTTTTGGCTGAATCGAAGCCCTGTAAATTTCCACATAGAAACTTAGTTTTTATCACTTTCTGTATTTTCTCAAAACGTGCATATCAGGTGAAGACTACAGATAGCGGAACAATTCTCTTTTCCGCAGATACAAGTGATCAAGGCGCAAGCAGCCATTCCAAACGTCCAACGCCTGCACTCCAGATGGTCGAAGGCATCCTTCTGCCTCTCTTCTTCGACCCTGACACGGCGCGGTCGGGCATGGCGTACAAACCACGCGAGGACGACGTCTTCGTAGCTACCTACGCCAAGTGCGGAACCACCTGGATGCAACACATCGTCTTCCTCCTTCAGCACAGAGGCGAGCCCCCTAGCTCGGTCCACGACTTCTTCCGGTCAAGCACTTACATCGAACTCCTGGGCTCCGACGTCGTCGGCAGCCTTCCGGGACCACGCGCCATCAAGACCCACCTCCCGGTCGACAGAGTTCCCTACGACGCCAAGGCAAAGTATATCTACGTCTATCGTAACCCGTGGGACTGCGTCGTTTCTTACTACCACCACGTAAAGACGATCCCGCTGTACCGCTTCCAAGGTACCTTGGACGACCTCTTCGAGGCGTTCATGGAAGGCCATTGCGAGGACGGTGACTACTTCGACCATCTAGTAGGATGGTACGCTCGAAGAAACGACCAGAACATCTTCGCGATATCTTACGAAGAGATGCACGCTGATGTCCGATCGTCCATCTTACGCGTCGCGGAGTTCATGGGCGAAGAGTACGCCGACATGCTGCGCGAAGACGAGAAGGTCTTCCAAGAGATCCTGCGCTGCTCCAGCATCGAGTACATGAAGGTTCACACCAACGACACGATGCGGGAGTTCTTTAAGATGAAGCGCGAGGACGTCCTCAACCATCCCACATGGGTGAAGAGCATCAAGAACATACGGGAGGGCTTCGCCGAAGGCGATGCCGACTCGCTGAGCCTGGTGCGCCGAGGAGCCGTCGGAAAGTCTGCGGAGACGCTCGATGACCAGAAGATTAAGAGGATACGAGACAAGTTGGAGGATAAGCTGCGTCTCGCGGGACTCAAGATGCCCGAATCCTGGAAGAAGCTGCCTTACCTCACGTCGAGTTAAGCGTCTACTGACTTGGTTTTGATTGGGGTATCTGGAAGGTGTGACAAAGGTATGGAAGCTATAGACCCGCTTACTGTTTGCAAACATGAACCGCTGCTTGCGTCCCAAGCGACTTTCGGTCGCTTTGTCTTTGGAAGCCTGACAATCCTGCTTATGTCACAAGTGCTAGAAAGCATAAATGCTACACGGGAAACATAGCGAGGGCCTTGGCTGTGCGATTTTTACGTCTTGGAGGAGACAAGTTGGTTTACAAGAATATTCAAAAAATTTAAACAAATCTCGCGCTTCTTGTTTTTTTTTTTTTTGTTTTTTTTAGCTTTTACTTAGAGAATTGATGGTTAAATGTTTAATCAACGTTTCAGGCAGCGGCGTTAAGGTGGCCTTTGTTCATTGTTTTGATGAACCGGAAGTTCGCTGGAATGTCAAAGGCTGAAGCACCGCCTAAGAAAAGGGCTTATAGGAAATTTCCGTAAAATGGCCAAGTGGACTACTTGGTACCATTGGGTTCGAATGAAACGCGAGCAATGACGGAGCTTCGAGCCCACTACCGGCTCTGCTTCCAGGCTTAGGTTGTGCTTGAAGGTTCAACCACGTAGGAGTGGGGCGCTGCGAGGTTGTGCGTTCTACTCCGATGAGTTTGGAAGAGCGCCTCAAACATACGTAGTCAGGAGAAAGAAGGGACAGGACCAAGCACTACTTACAATTTAACCTTTATTGAAAACACTCACTGTTTGTACACGCATTCAGGCTCCCAAAACAAAAACAAAAAAACTCTTCCTCAGTTATGTGCACCGACGGTGCGCTTACTCACCTATCATCGCTTTTCACTCTTATGCAATAGGCCTCAATTCTCTCTCTGTTTTATTTGTAAGTTTTTATACCATTTTGTATCTATACCATTTTAGTATCTTCGAGATTAGGCGCACCTTTGGCGAGATTGCCCGATGGGGAGCTTCTGACAGATAGGGTATGCTCACGTGCCCTGTCGTTTATACACCTCCCCGTTTGCCCTAGGTACACCCTACCGCAAGTCATGGGTATTTCGTAGACAACTGACGTTGTACAATGAACGTACTGCGCTCCGTATTTGTTAGCACATGCCTCGGAGTTGTTTTTTCATGCTTTTTTTTTTTTTACTTTTGAGCACAGGCGAGAGAATTTTGACGGGGCAGAGAACACTATAGGCGCTTCAAAGTGTGCGGCAACTCTCTTGAAGCTGCAGGACAGCCTATGGGCGTATGGGTTTACCACCGATCTGGTATTTTTCCTCTGGGCGGCTGTTTCTTCTCCGTTTCTTTCTTCATATTTTGAAACAAAGATGTCGGCAACTTGTTCCAAAAAACGTTTTGGATAGTCCGCGAAATTAAGGCGACCCACCGAATCAAAGAAGCCATCGGCCATAGTTTGCTTGCACGACTTATCTATTAAAGCTTTCATCAACGACGACACAGCGCCTCGTTTCACTAATTTGGAATGGGCAGACGAAAAAGTCAAAAGCCCTTTCTTCCAGCGTGGCTGGTACTTCCAGCATGCGTGATCGTTGTTGAAGTGCAAGTTTAAATCCAAGAACTGCAGCCTCTTAGACGCCATGGTTTGGTAAGTGAATGTTTCAGGTGCGCTTGTGATAGATTAAAAGTAAGACTGACATTTTATGGGCATATTTTCTTTATTTTTGCCTTTGCCATTTTGGAATAAAATCATCGCATGCATTCTAATGTCAAGCTCTGCCTGAAAGCAGCTCTTCTTTCATTAAATGTTTATCAAACTGGAACAAATGGTTTCTCTTTTCCAAATACCACCCACTATATACATGTGAAAGGTAGACATAATGAACGCAACGAAACTGAGGAAAGAGCTAAACACTAGATAAAGGTCAATACCTCAAACAAAAAGGTCTACGTACGAGGCTAGGAGTTGTGTCTTGATTATAGGGATTTTGTTCAATGCGTTTAAACTTCAACAGATAGTTTCGCCTTTCATTTTTGTCGTTCAAAAGTAACTTTTGCTTTATAGTTCAGGTACCGCTCAAAACACTCTATTTAAATTTCATATTCCTGCTGTAACGAAAGTGATATGTTGTGTTTGAAATGATTTACTGTATGTTTGTTGACTCAAAGAATAGGCAACTTATCGTTTATAATATTGATATAAATCAATATTATACACTGATAAAGAAATAAAAAGAAAGTCTTATGAAACAATTATTAATCTTCAAATCAAATGCGAGCAGAGGGGATTCATATAGTAGTTAATACTCATTTAAAACCACCATGTCGTGGCAATATTAAATCAACCTAATTCAGCAAAAACAAAAATAGTTCAAATAGTTTGATCACAATATTATTCTGATTGTTCTGCCGCATGTTGGTCATTTCTTTAAGTTGTGCATTGAACGAGGATGTGACTGTTGATGCTTTTATTAAACTGAGATGCGAAAGATTACAACTGAGAAGAGAAAGACGACGCAGCATAAAGAAATAGGCGCACTTCGCTGCGCAGTTTAATCAAGGCATGAAAAACCAATTAGCCCAATTCCGAGCACTGTTGCTCTTCGCAGCTGTAATATTCACTTTCCTGTTTTAATGGGTATTGCTTTTTTGTTTAAACGTTTTAAGGTTCCTGTGCTTTTAAAATTCAACTTAAAAAATGGCGCTTAAATGCTCGCAATGTGCTTGGCCTTTCTTTGTCTTCACTTTGCCTTTATGTGCTGAACTTCATAGTATAATCATATACCGTTTTATTTATATTGATCAAAATGCCCCAATAATTTGAAGCGATCTCTTTTTTTTCACCTCGACACTACAATAAGCTAGATAATAAAAAAACGCTCAGTTTCGTTATCAATTATTGATTGAGGCAACATACTTTCTTAAATATTTTCATACTATAAATGCTTCGACAATCCACATCTTTTGAGCAAGCTACAGTTTAGTTTCTTACGAAACCGAAGTTCGCGAATGATTTAAAAGAATGTTGAGATGATATACCATAATAAAATATATATATATCGAATACCCATATCAATAAAAGAAAGTAAAAACTTATCTGTATTGGTCTCTCGTCATCAATTATACAAGAAATTCAGTGAGACTAAAGAAATAAGTCTAAAATAACTAGTCACTACACCCACCATGCAGTTCACAGGCGGGGTAAAATGTCAAATATTGCACCCTGCATTCCTACTGTCCTTTCGCTACTTTGAAGCTGACTTGCTCTAATCTTCATTCTAATTTACGTTATTTTCCTTAAAAATAAAAAAAATAAAAACTGCTCACTGGCTTCATACGCAGCTGTAGATATATATATATATTAAAACTCGCAATGATTTTCGCAACGGTCCAGTGTTTTTATTTGTTCATGCGAAAAGGAGTACCATTTTCTGTTGTTCACCACCCTTGAAGGAGAAAACGATTTGTCTTCTACGTCTTCTTTACTTAACTAGTCAGGTGGTTGCTAGCAATTTTTTTAGCACGGCCTTTTGGCTATATCTTGATGCTGTTATGGCCGACGTTCTTAAGGTCAGGTTTCATATTTTTGTCGTCACACCTCAATAAAATCATACGATTTAATTGTACCTTAACTTGGACCCAACTCCAGGCCGTACAATTGTTGGAAACAATAAACATGTAAGCTATAGACCAACTCAACTCACTGAGGTCACACTACTGCGGTGACGCTGCTGTCGGTAGTGCGCATGCGCAGACGCTTCACTCCTCCCGAATTTGGTTTCTGCGCAGGCGCAGTGCCCACACCTGGTGTGGGCAAAGCGGGCTTCTTTGTAAACACTGTGTTGCTGTACACTTCGTTGTAGCTTAAGTTCGGACGCAGCCGACGCTACGAGGTAATGGACCAATCAAGCGCCGTCAAAAGCGCAAGTCACTAGGCCTTTTTTTGTTGTTTGGGATTGGTTCAGCGATGATAGAACACCTACAGAAACGTGACGAGCACCATGATGGTGCGCTTTTGACGTTGTCTGATTGGTCCCAGTACCTCATAGCCTCGGCTGCGTCTGGCCTTGAGCTAAAACAAAGTATGTAAACTGTGAACAAGCAAAAAAAAACAACAAGCACCCCGAGTCTAAACTTTGTGGCATATGACAAAACATTTGTTTTGTTGTTGTTGTTGATTCAGCCTTTGAGGTCACTCAAAAGGCATAAATATCATGAGCAGCTGTCATATTTATATCTAGTCCTCACGTACGAGTTGAAATCCACAAATGAATGTATACTCGTCGAAGATTCAATCTGCTGTTCTGGGACTTACTTTTCACCCATTCGTGTAAGTAATATACGGGATAGGTGCACCTGTATCGTATGTTCTAAAAACTTGCAAGTGTAGTTAGAGGCACATATCCCGAACGACTTTAGGTCTTACAAAATTAAAGCTAAAACCAACACCAAGGCCAGCATCGTTAGATCTATACCCCTATAGGCATAAAGCGATGTATTTTAATGGCGAGTCCTATATCTTCCCCAGCTTGCATCCGAAACTAAAATTATTATTTACTGTAACATTCCCGACCTCTCGCTCATTCGGATATATTTCTACAAAAATACAGGAATACTCTACCAGCGCTCAATTATCGCCCATTGTATATACGTATTTATACAAAATATATTTGGCTTTTGAAGACGACGCCTCTTGGACTTTATTTGCCAAGTATAGTTGTTATGTACTGAACCGGTAAAATATACCAGTTACCGGTTGTCTCTTGCCCTTTTTTGGTTCATCGACAGGTCTAATAGAGAGTTTTAGGGAACCGTTTTTGCACATCTGATTAGGTACAATGGACCCTCCGGTACGAACTGCACATGCGCTACAGCAGAAGACTCGTCTATGCGCAGTTCGTATACCGGAGTGCATGTCGTACCGTATCGGATATGCCAAAAACGGTTCCCTAAAACTCTTTCATACCCGTTATATCCCGGTTACAGCCATGATGGATGCCACCTAGTCAACGTCCCTACTGTTCCATCGCTTTATGTCTCGTCCGATCGCGGAGCCTGCGCGCGCTCTTCTTCCCAATCCCAGCAGGCCCCACTCCGCTTTTGTTCCACAAGGTGGTTTGCTGACGAACACCACAAGTTGTCAGCAAAAATCTTCTTTTTTCGGTCGTTGCTTTGGGTATCGATTCCTTCGGAAATTAAAAACAGCGCGGAAAGACGAGGACCAGACAAAGAAGTGACACGGACGTAGCGCTGACTTACAACTGAGTTTATTGAACGCAAACTCGCAATATTTATTTGCGGTGTCACGAACAAAAGAACATAAAAAAT